AACTAAGTGCTTAAATTTGCCCAGGATGTGGTAAAAATGTTTGGGTTGAAGCATTGTTAGCCATTTTCCTTACAGATCAACTGCCTGTCATTTTCTTTAACAAAAAAATGTTTTATCAATAAAATTCAGATAAATTTTACGACTTTTCACTTGTTTTAATTGAAGTCAGGCGCCAGGCCTTAGCCGCCCACACAAACGGCTATCGCAGCAGGGGACTGCTGATCCTACAGAGACAGGCATTCCCTTTAGCCGAGGCCTGCTTGTTGGGAACATAATCAATAGCTCGATAATATCAATGTACCAGGTGGTGGTTGATTAACCACGCGCCCTTCTGCAGCTATATTGTACCGCATTCCCACGTACCCCGGTGGGTGGCGCACTCGCCCAGCCCGTAGCGCGCCTTGGTCAGGGTCAGGGGTGATAGACAGGAACAACCACACGGGTGTCATGGGGTTGAACAGCCGTCTGGTTCTACGACCGAGGAATGACAACGTTATTGGGCTCTGCCTCCTGCCTCACCAGCGTCAGCTGACCCGCGGCCCCGGTGGCCCCCGGCCCGACCTCTCGCTCGCCGAGTTCCTCGCCATCTGGCCGGCAAGCGACGAACGGACAACCCAAAGGACAGTCCTGCCCGTCCTGCCGCCGCTCGACTAGGATTGGGGCGAGTTGTCGTCGGCCGCCCCACCGCGCCGCCCCGCGCCGCCCCACGCCGCCCGCCGCCCCGCGCCGCCCCGCCGGCTTGCTCTGCCGCGCCGTTTGCTGTCTGGGCTCGCTGGGCGGGCTTCAGTCCGCCGGTGGTGTGGTCGTGGTTCGCGTCGTCCCGCCGCCGCCGTTCCTCGCGGATCGCATCACTCCACTCCTCCGCGCCGCACAGCTGTTCGCGCCCGCCCCGCCGACCCACCGCGCCGGTCCCGGTGCGTCGCCCGCGTGTCATCCCGGATCAGTAGGTGAGAGCAAACGGCCGCCCTGCGCGACTCAGCGTGGCGTCAGTCTTTGTTCTGTTCAGCTGGTCAGTCTCCGCGGCCTGTCCGACGGCAGTGTCAGCCAGCCCCATTCTGGTCCGACGCGTTGGTCGGGAAGGATTCGAAATGTCACCCTCAGTTTTGCTCATTATGGTTGAATTATGGATCCTTTCGACACGTCGTTGGGCTCCAGCGCGGGTCAATTTTGCCCGTTATCATAACCACTTGTGGCGCTTGTTCATGTGGGGGACTAAACCTGCCCAAGGGTCGTGTGACCACGTGTGACCACAACGTGGTCGCGCTCAGCGTGTCCGAGATCGAAGGACCGCCTGCTGTCGAGTTAAGTGGAGCCATGCACTGTAGGACACAGGGCAGCGTGTCTTTCCACCACTCCAGGACTCTCTCGTTGAGGAGATCTGTCATCGCATTCCTCGCTTGTCTCGAACTTATTCGCTACGGAGTGACTGAGGAGCCCAAAAGAAGCTTAACGAATGAATGAAGCCGCCCGAGCAGAGCGCCCCCCCCCTCCCCCCGGGGGCCCCGCCGCCCAGTGGTCCGCTTGAGCTAGACTCGGGCGGAAGCAGATAGGCGCGCCCAGCGGGACTCCTGTCACCGTGTCACGTGTGACACCGTGCTCCGTGTGACACTCGCGGACCCCATCACGAGGCCTAGCCGGCGCTTAACCGGGCCCAAAGCGACGTGCTCAGTGGGCCACCTGCCATGATTAAGGCATCATCAGGCTAACGTTCAATAAACATGTGTGTTACAGTATGAAAATGAATGGTCATGCACGCCAGATATGATAAACTGTGAACTATTAATCGTCAAAACTGTTAATTGCCCGAACCGGAAAAAGCCTATGATGGCTCGGCGAGAAAACTGTCGCCCGCCAGGCCAGGACAGTTCGGGTGTACGCAGCATTTACGCTGATCCGGAGGCTAAGCAGCCGTCAGCACTTCAGCAGGACCCGCAGGACTAGCTAGCGCAGGTCAGCTCGACAGGACTGGGTGGGCCCGCGGGGGCCGCTCCGACTCGACAGGACAATATCTTTTGACAACGGTCGGTCCGCGCCGCCTCTCGCCCGCCTGGCTATCTTTAGCTCTCTTTTTTTCCTCTTGTCGGTCTCCTCCACTCGGCTCGTTTCGATGGATGAATGGTC